CATTCTGCAATACATAACGACAACTGTTAGTGGTACTGACACACCTTAGAGGGATTACATCTACTGCAAGGTTCCTGGTCTCGCCTCAACCTTTCTCAATTCAAGTACGGATCCTCTGCTTTCAGTAGTACGGGCCCATACTACCTTCCACATCTATCCGTACTTTCCTAAGAACAGCCTCGACTCCACCAAGTCCCTTCTACTACTACTGCTGATCTCATGCTACTCTCGTCCTAGGCTTGCCCTAGGTAATCGCCATCCCACTCTCTGCCATCAGCTGCATAAGAAGTCCCTGCTTCCTTCCCCTAACTAGCTCGCGAATACTATTACATATTACTCAGACTAGATAATTCTTCGAATGAGAGGTCCCACCCTACAACGGTTGGACTCAAACAAGAGCTGCGAAATAGGGCTAGACCCAACCTTCTGAAATTATTTAGTCCTTGCAATATGTAACTTAACATATTCGTTTACTAGTTAGTGAAAGACAACTAGAACTCCTAAAAGCACATAGCAAGCAGCATTCGGGCATTGAGTACACATAATCAAGTATATACTACTCTGGCTATCATACTGACTGATCTGTACTAGCATACAATGCTAAGCTCATACTATCGGGCATAACCTAAACAGGCTACCCTACTACTATCTACTTAGTACTAGCATGCAATTCTCATGAAGCTGGAACACTTAAAGCAGGCACATAAGGCATTATTCCTAGATCCTTAGTCCTATTCTAGCATGCTGTTCTACTGAAACTGAAACTGATAATTATAACATAAACTTGTATGGGTACTTTGGGGAAAACTTACTTAAGCTCGGCCGGTCGCGCACATCACACACTTTGTTCTTTCTCGAAACTCTTTTACTTAGCCTTTAGAAATCATTTATTTATAAATTTATTTTTTAATCCCTCGATCCCTTGAGTCCAGACACCCTGAAGGTGTGTCCGAATCCCTCAAACCAGGGCTCTGATACCAACTTGTAACGACCCAAAAATTTCGTTTAAAATAAATGGTTTGCAAAACATTTGTAGTAAAACATCATTTGATCATATCATCTCATAAAATATATCTTATGTCTGAAACCAATCATAAAATAATAATAATAATGTCAGAGTACAATCCCAGAACATCTCATAGTGCGGAAAACCAATGTGTGGTGTATGATGTGCCGCTACCGCGCCAGCTCCTTCCCCTTCGCTGAAGAGGTACCTGAAACAAAACTGTAAAACTGTAAGCACGAAGCTTAGTGAGTTCCCCCATCGTACCACATACCATACAATCACATAACATACAGATACTGTCAGGCATATCTGGGTGCCCGACCTACCCCTTCGGTCCTTTCGACCGGATACTGCCCAGCATATCTGGGTGTGGCTGCCTCCCCTTCGGTCCTTTCGACCGGATACTGCCTAGCATATCTGGTGCTGGCCTCCCCTTCGGTCCTTTCGACCGATACTGGGGACTATTTCACCCCTCTACACTACCACATAACATATATCACATAACCATAATCTGTCTAACATGACTGGTATGACTACCCCTTTCGGCCCTATCGACCGGAAATCCTGGGACTATCTCCCCTACTGCTACTAGCATATAACATCATATCATACTAGCACATAACATTCAGGTAGTAGCAAACCTAGATGATATCACAAAGACAATCATCCAACATACAACTCCTACTGGTGGGCCGGCATTGTGGCCGTAGACCCACGCTACTGGAAGGTAACTCACCTCGAAAAGTAGCTTCTGGAAGTCTGCTCGCTAGACGTCTGACTGCTGCACCGGTAATCCCCGCTATAAATCCATAAACATCGATTAGTCACTCATAAATACCCTTAGGTCAAATGACTGACCTGCCCCTGGTCCAAGGTCAACTCCTTGGTCAAAGTCAACTTTTCCAGTTGACTGGACTCGCCGAGTCCTGGCACAGACTCGCCGAGTCCCTCTCCCACTATTCCCGTACTAACTCCTCAAGTCCCTTTTTCCTACTCACTGAGTCACCCTAACTCACTACTTCGGGACGATTAGACCGGCTCGCGATCCGACTCGCCGAGTCCGAGAACAACCTCGCCGAGTCCCTACGAGCAGATCTCCTACTCGCTTCCAAATCCTCACCAGAGCATCCATCTTGAGGATTTGGGTTCTGGGACTTTTTGCTACTCGATAAATTGCTAATTCCGCGAGCAGTTACGAAGGGTTGGACCTTCTACACTTAAACCCCTCTTAACTCAGTAACTGTTCATATGACTCGCCAAGTTGGAAGAACAACTCGTCGAGTCCCAGGCAATCTTCAAGGACTCGCCGAGTGGTTCATCCAACTCCTCTATTCGTCGAGTCTAAGACATCTTCATATAACTCGCCGAGTCACTTTGGCACTCGCCGATCCCTTCAACCCTCCTCCAAACAGACCAATTCTTAGGCATGCAACAGTTCCAAACCATAGATCTAAGCTCCTAGGGCATGCTTATCACGTAAAGTTGCAAACTTTTACGTGCATGCATGGCCCTATGAGCTCCAAAAGGCAAATCCAAGCTCTTTATGAGGTCAAACACTCAATAGGGACCTCAAACTTCAACACAGAGACTTTACACTTCTAAGATGTCCATAAGGTCCAGATCTGAAGTCCTTTCAGAACATGGAGCATAAACACATGGAGTTTGAGGTTTTAGGGCTTGAAAACCACAAATTTGGGACAAAAAGGGAATCTAATGAACTAGTGATCAAGGTAGGAACTTTTCTACCTAATGGAAGCTTCCCACAGTGTAGATTTCGGATCTACTTCCCCTCCTTGCACTCTTCAACCTTCTCCTTCTTCTTCTAAGCTCCAAACTTCCTTCACAATGCCAAAATCACTCACAAGAACAATATGGGGGCTAGGGTTTCGCTCTACAGCTCTTCTGGAAGTGTTAGGGACAAGGGAGGCCGAGTTAGAGTGTTTAAATAGGGTGTAAGCCCCTGGATTAGGGTTTTTGTCCAGACAACGGCTACTCGCCGAGTCCGGGACCCGACTCGGCGAGTCCACAACTTAAACCCCGTGCCCCTTCCCGCTTCTACTCGGCGAGTCGAGCCTTTGACTCGCCGAGTCCAAGGCCAGAATGCAAAATACTCAAAAATTTAAATAAAAGAATACGTACCAAGAACCAGGTGCTACACTTAAGGGCTATTATGGCTTAAAGGTGTAAACTTTATGCCATAAGAGCTCCCATACAAGCTATGGGGTGCCTTTTTCGCCTTTAAGCCCCAAAAAGGCCATGCATGTAGAAAAAGGAAGGAACTTTACGTATTCAAGTAGTGTTAGGGACCTAGATCCATGTTTGTAAGTTGTAGTTTGGAGTATGGATGACTTGGGGACCAAGATCTAGGTCCCAAGGAATTAGGATTTGAGCTAAACTCATTAAGAGGAGGTATTAACGGGTAAAGTTGGAAACTTTACCCTTAAAAGGACATTTCCAAAGTATATAAGAAGTATGAAGCTTAGATTCGAAGTGTAGGGGGGCTTAAACCTTTAAGATGGCCCAAACAGACAGAGTAACTCGTCGAGTCCTTAGGTGAACTCGATAAGTTGAGACGAGTTGTCCTGTTTTAATTATGTTAGGACTCGACGAGTTGATTCGCTAAATCGCGACTATGACTGGCTGGGGAACTCGACGAGTCAGGGGGATGACTCGACGAGTTGGATCGCAATTTCAAGATTTATGAGCTATAGGACTCGGCGAGTTGATAAGCCAACTCGGCGAGTCGAGTAAACTCAGGACGTTGACTTTGACTAGGGGTAAAATGGTCATTTTACCCTAAGAAGGATTATTAGATTTTGATTAAGTGTTATTGTGTATTGATAGTCGGGGAGTCGTTGGAGCAGCGGTTAGAGATTCCTCACACAAGATTCACAGCTACCTTTCGAGGTGAGTTTCCTCTAGTAGGACGGGTCTACGGCACCAAGGGTATAATTGTAAATTGATATCTCGGTCTTTTATAGATTTCAGGTTTTGTTTGGGAGGTTTTATGACGTGGGTATGTTGTTAGGAGCGTAGGGATTCTCGCCACCTTTACGTGGATATAAGGTTCGTTAGAAACGGACTTAGGATGAGGGAGTTATGGCATTTTGAAGATATTGGCAAGTGTGGCCCCTAATGGAAATATTTGGCAGATCAGCCCCATGCATACGAGGGTGCATACGCGTGTTTGGTTGGGTACGCCCAACGTATAAGGCAATGTGGGTTGCAAGTGGTTTGTGTGTACGCCGGGCGTACTAAGGGGTATGCGGGGCGTACCCCATTCAGAGCAAAACCCTAATTTCGGGGTTCCTACCCTATATAAGCAACATTATACCACCCCTTTGGTCATTTTAAGTCAGCCACCACCTCTTTTGACGTTCATGAAAACCTAGAGTGCCTTGAGTAAGATTTTAGACCTTGGAAATGAGTGTTTATGGGTGATTTGTGTAAGATTAGAAGAAAGTTGATGACTCATTTCCTGAAGGGAGCTTGTAGATCCAGAAAGTTCTCATCTTTTGCAATCTATTGGAGGTAAAAAGCTATGATCTTGTCTTCTCATTTCATAGATCTTCTTTTGGGTTTGTTCTTAGTCATTTTAGCCTTTTTGGGTGGTTCTTGTGAGTTCTAGTTGTTTCAGAAGTTGTTATTGTGGATCTGGATGTTTTGGGTGTCCCAAAGGCATAAAAATGTGATCATTATGGTTTAGTTGGACTCATGCATGTGTTAAGATCTTTCATTAGGCTCTTTTAAGTTCTAAAGTCCCATTAAGCCATGTATGTAAGTAAAGTTGCAAACTTTAAGTATTAAATCATCTGTGAGAATCAGACTGGAGAGTTGGAGCAAGGACTGAAGTGATTAAGTGCTTATTATTATTATTATTATTATTATTATTATTGTTATTGTTATTAATATTTTATCAAAGAATTTATTTAGAATCAAGAAAAAATTATATAAACTCACATCCGGCTCAAATAAAAGAGCCAAAGTCGAAGTTATGCTATTGGTCGATTGGGTATTTGTTTCACATTCAATGGGCCACGGCCAGGGGATAAGTTTAGGGTTTGATGTTACGCTATAAAAATTGATCCATCTCCACCTTAGGGTTCCGGTAAAGCGTAGAGCGGAGGAGAAGCCGGCAAATCAGGGGACGATTGCTTCACGTAATAACGGTAATCAATTTCATTACTTCTGATACTGATCCCGATCCCGATTCGAGGGCAATGGTTTTGTTTAGTTATATTCTAGGGTTTGTTTTCTGTGTTTCTTTTTCATTCTGATATAAGTTTCCATGGTTCATCGACTCTGAAGAAATTAAGTTTATTTATTTTGCATCAAATTTAGGCGTAAAAAAGTTTCAAATTGATCGAAAAATTAGTTTTTTCTATTCCTAATTGGAGGAGCTGTTGACTATCGGATAAAATGCATTTACAAAGTTGTTTCATTTTCATCTAGTTTGGCTTGTTTGAAGGGGGACAAGAAAAGTCGAATATAATGTAAAATTGTTTTTCCATGGTTTTATGTGCGTGATTCATGGATCTGCTGTATGTTTGGTATTGTTTAACTCTCTTGATTGGTTTTATTTAGCTCATTGTGTACCTTTGACTTTTGTACATGTTTGCTGCTATGATTATGTAGGAATATGAGGATGAACACATTAGTTTTCTTACATAAAGACTTATGTAATATGTATTTTGTCTGCATCTATTAATAATTAACAATGATTGTGGGATTTGGTGATTTAATTATGCATATGTATATCACAAGGCAGTTGAATTGGTTTTGGGCTTTGCTTTTTGAACTCTTATTATTGTATGCTTTTGCTAGTTTGTGTTGCAAAAGTTTCTTCTAAATATCTTTCTCTTTGGAACACTCTCTACAATTTGATCATCAAAATTAATATAATTAAAAAAATATCCATTAATCGATTGGAAATCTTGAAAGAATTAAGGTGTAACTCCTTTGGTTGGAAGATTAAGGTTTTATTAGGATGAGTTGATTAAACTTTATTCCAAGATTAGAATATGGTGTTGACAAAAATAAACCTATCTTTACTGACTTAAATTTTTTGATTCAGGGAACGAGCCACAAGACATGGATCAAGATCAAGGACACCATGGCTCCAGGTTTCTAGAAAATTTTATTATTTTTGAATGACATAAATTTAAAAATATGGACATTAGAGAATAATAAGTTTGCATTAATTTGGATTTAATATTTGTTATCAACTAATTTTTAATTTGGATTCTACTTGTTTATATTTTTCAGTGTAGATTTTTTTTCTTTGAATACGTTGGCCAACGATATAAATAGGTGTATTGGGCCCATGGTAAACAAGCTTGAAGATCTGGGCACTCGCTTAAAACATATCGAGGTGGAGGTGAATAAATATGCACCAATGCAAGATAATGTGGTTGAGATTCCTACAGAGGAGAAGCCATCTCATTACAACACAAACATTGGTCTACCAACATTCCCTGAGAAGTTTAATCTTGATGTCTTTTGCAAATGGGTAAAGGAACTAGAATTGTATTTTGAGTATCATTGTGTTGCACAGCCAGAACAAGTAGAACTTGTAGTCAGCACATTGCCACAGGAAGGAGAGGCTTTCAAATGGTGGCAAGATATTCAAAAGCTAAACGAGAAAGTCTATAAAAATGATCCCATTTGGTGGGCAGAGATGAAGGTGTTGTTTATGGATAAATTCCTTTCTCCATAGATTGTTTTATAGCCAAGGAAAAATCCATAAGTTTCCTTGTGTTGGCTATCAAATTTATTTATCTAAGGAAATGGAATTGCATGTATTGGAATTTAAGGAAAATTAAAATCCCTATCGGTTGTTTGCTAGAAAATAGTTGGATTAAGCAACTCTATATGTATACTAGGGACATTTTAAGGGCCGATGGTATTGTAAAAAACAGATTTAATGCAAAAATTAGAATTTATTCACAACACACCAACAGATGCCAAAATACATTAATTAATAGTAATGATTATCTAATAACCGAACCAAGAGGTCGATCAGTCAAATACACAAATTATCTAAATGAAAATATATCAATTATCTCGGTTCAAATTTCAATGGTAATATATAACTTTATGATTTTATGATAATCTCATTTCAAATTACTTCAACATAATTTTAGATTTTCAATTCATATATATATATATATATATATATATATATATATATACTAGCTGTTTACCCGCGCCAACCGACGGGTGTGAATAGTTTATTTCAATAATTATTTCTGTTCGGAAACATTTAAGATTTGGCACCCAACTTTGACACGAAGGTAATAAAAAGGCAAACCTAACAGTGAAATGTAATTTGCTTTTGTTGATTATAACTTGTAACTTAGAAATTAATCCATTTAGGTAGATTATTTGGGGTTTAAAACAAAATTATAATGTTGTCTTAGTTAAAAATTAAACAAGTTGTGTGAAACCATGTGATTGTTTTGTCGATTTGGGTGAATATTTTGATTTCGGCAATTAGTTTTCTTTTGGTGGACGGTAAATAGTTTTATTTTGGGGAATTGTTTCTTTCGAAAAACATGACATATTACAAAAAAACATATTGTGGTGCAATAAAAAACTTTCCGTTCACCGAAGATTTTTTGGACGACGAATATAAATATGTTTTTTTTATTTAAAAATATATGTATCTTGTTATTTTGGGTAAAAAGAACTTTTCTTAAGTTAAAAAGAAAAGTACATTGCGGCAAATACTTTTCTTTCAATGATGATGGTTGAAATATGAACTTATTTGCTTCTTATATATTTTTATATACGTCTTTTGAATGATATGAGACTTGTATAATCTTTATTGCTTATGTGTATCCATACAATATAGCATGCCTCTATCCATACCAAAAACACTTTTCTCATAAAACAAAAATTCTATAAAAGTCCACAAAAATATTTTTAATAACTGATAATATAAAATTTGGTTGATTTAATGAGGTTTGTAATTGGTTAGCTATGACAAATATACGCAAAAAATAAAAGATAAAGGATGTAGGAAACTTATATTGTTACATGAAACAGAAGAGGTGGGAATTGAGAGAAATAATAACCACTAAAAGACCGACCCACAAATATTCACATGTGGTATCCTCTAACGATGTTTATAAGATGCAAAATTAGTAGTGTTAAACTAAGAGGATCAAAGAGTAAATAACCATTCATTAGCATGTATTCACCTTCCATATCCTCCAAACACTTATTTTATCAAAACAGTGGCGAAAACCTCAACTGAGCATTCAAGGACTAAGCGAACATCAAAGAAACCTAACTACTCTCTTCACGAATATGGAATATACCTAGGTAGGTGAGTGGAGGATAAGGCCCAACTACAAAAGGAGTAAGCACATGGTACAATTCAACTCAAAAAACCTTCTTCAAAAAATTCCAATTTCCAGGAAATTTTCTAGAGAAAGACCAAAACGACCCTTAAGATTTTTATTGCACCAAAACTTTAAAGCATCAGACCAACTTCTTTTCCCCTGCCTGCCCTAATCTCGAATGTTCATGTTAATTTGAAAAAGTTGGGCGTAAATAACAATGAATAAAAAAGACCATAATGTCCTTTGCTTGAGTAATCACACCAAAACTTCAAAACATCACACTATACCCTTCTTTCCCTCATGCCTACCAAAAAACTTGAAATTTCAAACAGACTTTGAACCACCTGTTAGATTTGATGTTATATTTGACAGTAACCAGAAAAGGACCATATTGCCCTTTATTCTTATTATTACTCGAAAACTTCAAAACATCATACCAAGAGCTATAAAAATTCAAATGAACATTGTTGCAATTATAGAAAAAAAACCAAAATGCCATCAGAAATTATAATTTTGCCATGTCTTTCAACCATCAAACATCAGAAAAGGACCAAAATACCCCTAAAAAAATTTATTGGACAAATATGAATATGTGAATATGAAAGTTGAAACAAACTTATTTACACAATGGTGGTCGAGATGACATAAATGGGGAGTTCTTTTACAATATCAATTGACATATCAGTACGACGGGCAACCTGGTGACCAGGATGAGTGGTATGGCAGGGAACCATTCCATTTTGAAGTGGCTTTATCACACACTTCTACACCAGTGTCTATAACCGGTTTCCTTAACAATATGGGATCCAAGTGAATAGCTAAGTGAATTAATTACATCATTAATTTCATTTCCCTCAAGAAAAAGAGCAATCTCAGACATGTGAAAAAAAAAACGATATATAATAGTTTAATTTGACCTTCGAATGAGTAGGTTCACAGAAGAATTCATGAGGATGGAGACTGTATTCTTTGACCAAAACTGTTGTCTTCATATGATTTCATCCTAGAAATGAACAAAAAAAACAATATGTTTATTTTGTTTCACGTAAACAATCAAATACACAAAAAAATCATATTCAATTTCACAAAATAAAACAATAATAATCTAAGTAAATTATGTGTATCTTTGATAGATAAAATCCTAACTGTAAATAATTTAAAAGATACAACCTAATTTGGATGATTCAACCAGGGAATACGATTCACCCAAATACAGGAGCAAGAAGGGATCTATAGAGTTCTTTTTTTCATGAAGTCTATCTGTTCAAATTGGAGGTGTGAACTAATTGTAAATAATTTAAAAGATACAACCTAGATTTGGATGATTCAACCAGTGAATACGATTCACCCAAATACAGGAGCAAGAAAGGATCTATAAAGTTCTTTTTTTCATGAAATCTATTTGTTCAAATTGGAGGTGTGAACAAATCATCCGCAAACTGGGCCATATTCACCATTTTTTCTGTTTCCTCACACTTATTTTTTTTCCTAATCTGAACTTGATTGATTTCTTCTTGATATCCAGAATCTGAGATGAGTAGAAATGTTAAAAAAACATGGGATCCAATAGTAATACCCCATATGAAACTGTGGCAAAATTACCATTCCTTGTGCCATCGATGTTGTGTGAAGAATGCACTTTTCCCCTGTCATAAGCCAAGCATCAGTCCATCATATGGAATAAATCCAATTGTGTTCCAATTTATTGTTCGATTTTCAAATTACTGATAGAGTTTCAATTAGGGCTTTATGAATCAGAAGAGAACATAAGAATAATAAAAAGCGAGTAGAGATGGTGTACCAGTAAAGCCATTTATGCGGGTTGCCAAGGTGAGTTGCCAAAGTGAGTTTTGACAGTCAAAACGCCAGATCAAACATGAAATCGGAAATTCGATGGTAGGAGTTCACAGAGGTGGTGGTGCAAGGTTGGTTGACAGTTGGAAAGGGGTGTCTGGTGGTTGTCTTTGTTGATGGCAGCTAAAGCTCGATGGTGGCAGTGGTTGTTCTTGACTGATGGTGGTGTTTGGGGAATAAGGGCGACAATTTGGTGATTGGTGGTTCTCGGTGATGTGGTTTTCAGGCGGTGGTGGTTGACAGAGGTTGGAGATGGCGTGAGTTGTTGTGATGGTGAAGATTTCTGGTCAACCCGGTTGTGGATGGGAGGCTGATGAAATTGGAGGAGCAAAACATCGTAAAATATAGGAGGAGAGGGTTCCAATATAAAGGAGATATGGCCGAGATTAAGGGGTTTGGTATTGAGGTATTAATTATCAATCTATTAAATCACGGCTGGATAAGAACTCAACTCACTCCCTTGACTTTTTCACTGTTGACCAAATAAGGGAATATAGTTTTACTTTGACCGATTCATTTGCACATAGACCAATTAACAGTTCCTATGATATGAGACATTTAAGGGATAAAAATGCATAAAACATTTGTAATTCATGCTTCATGTTTTGTACTACTTAAATTTAAGACTTTTTTGTCCTAAAATAGCTAAATGTTTTTTAAGGTATATAGATATATACTAGGAAACATAATAAGGGCCGTGATAATCACGACCCTAAAGAGTTTATTAATAAGCTAGTTTTTATTGGTTTGAGGGAAAACACGACATCAAAGCATATATTTTATCCCAAAAAGCAACTGATAGTCCTTACTTCTAACATCTTCAAACGTATATTAATATCAACATATATTCTCACAATGCATACAACATCATCATCAACTTTCAGCCTAAAGCAAATGTCTCTTGTAAAACCTCCCTCACAATCATGATTTCACCTTTTCACCTACTGATAACTAAAGTATT